AAACTAGGAGCTCAGGCATATGAGTTGCTCTCCGAAAGTAAAGTTTTTCCTGGTTTCGGTCAGGTAACTTCGTGTGGTAAATACTCTGGTGGGAAAACGTCTACTCCACCACATGATGCATGTAGAGCAGGGCCATCCTCCGTGTTGAATGAACCAGGAACGCTGTGAAAAAAAGCCGTTCCTCATTAAACTCTGGATAGATACATTAATTTAGATTCCTTGTAAACCGCACTGTGCTGCTGCCACCAACCAGTTTGTGACAGCTGGTGATACTGCAGCCTCTTCTTTGAGGAGGAATGATTAAAAGGGCTTTTATTAACTGAAGGTGGGTTCACAACATCAGGAAATCAGCAGCAGTACTGTTGGTATCCTGTGCTTGAGTAAGACCGTTAAACATGCGTATGAAGATATAAAGGTACTGTCATAAAGTTTGATCGCTAATTCTTGTTTGAAACTCTGTTTCAAATGTAATAGAAACCTGTTAAAATACTCTAAGTCTAAAAATACTGAGAAACAAAAAGTGACTGATTGATTTAACAATTGTTTGTTTACAAAAATACATAAATTGAAGGCCCTAAGTAGCTCTACTGTCTCTGAACCTGAGACAGATAGAAATCAGTATCATCGCTGAAACCTGTGATCTTTTTCTGTCCTTCCCCATGTGAGGAGGCTAATATAAAAAAGAAAAGAGAAGAAGAAAATAACACAGAGGTACCGTAAGAAAGGTCAGAAACCCTATTTGGACTGCTACCAAAGGCACACACAGGGGTTAGTTAGAGATGGAGTTGCAGCTTTAATTCTGATTTTTCTGGCTTTTGTCACTTCAAAGACAGACTCTCAGTGTTATTTTAACATTTTTATTGTGTGTGAATAATAGAGTACACATTGAGGTTCAATAGGTGCAATACTGTTAAATGTACGTCTTGGTGGATTTAAAAATGAGGGATTTATTTTGTCATTCATAAAGTTGTAATACAGTCTGGAGAAACTATTTGTTAAAAGATAGCATCTACTTAACCTGCTTATTTATTTCTTGTAGTAGAAGGTTAGATCCACAATAAATACACGAGGAAATAAGTAGATAGGGGAATTTATCTTAGAAATAAGATCCCTGTCACGCTTTTGAAATGTGAAATGCATGAAGACCTGTCAGGGAGATATACGGACATGATATTTTTTTACTGTGCATTTGGAAGTATTTAGCTATATTTGTCATTCGCTAGTGCCACTAAGCAGTGATCAAGTGATACAGTAATTTGAAAGTCTGTTTTCAATTCAGCATATAAATATATATATACATTTTTGCCTTTGGGATATAGCAGAACTGTACACAAGTCTTCTTTATCTTTTACTCTCTGTTTATGAAAATAGTTTTTTGGGAAAATTAGCATTTGTTTAAATAGGTTGCTTAACAGATACATTTTTGCATATATCCTTTAAAGAAATTTTTAGTTAGCTATATTATACATACATGAAAATTGCTATATTTTTACAGCTATTTGGAGGAAAAAAAACACCAAAATGAACACAAACTACTGAGTGCAAATTATGGTATTAATATATTAAAACATCTAGCTTTTTCCTAGATTGTGGACAGTGGCATACCAGATTTCATCATTTCGCTTCTAATTTGCCAGAAATAATCTATCTTTGGTAAGGCTGGAATAAAAGATGGAGTTTATAATGCAAATGGGAAAAACAGTCTGGACAAGTGAAAATAAGGGTATTTCTTAAGCTAGCATAATTGCTGTTGAAAATGTGTGGTTATTGCCAGATCAGACAACCCATTCTTACAAAAAAATCAGTGGATATTCTGAAATCTACCAAATGTGTCACTAAGAATTTTTAAATGTGAAAAACCTAGTTCTAGTTGTATGGAGGCCAAATGACCTGTTCTCTAAGGTGTAGGTGGGTAAAAGAGGTGAAATTTATACTGTTCTTACATACCTGACCTACTGACACCCTGGTCATCTCTCTCTGTCATCACCTCTTGACCTGTGCCACATCTGTATGTCCTCTGCAGAGCACAGGCTCTTTTTGCAGCACCCCTACCTGGATGAATTTTTTCCTAGATAAGAAAGAGGATTTTTACACTCTAATGCTGAACACTAATAGCAGCAATGTCATAGTATGTATTTCCCTGCTTTTTTTCTTTCCTTTTGTTAACAGGGATGTAGCAATAAGCCTGTAGCTTGTTTGCATACCTACTAAATAGGTAAACTCACACATAGGGTGAAGTTGAGTCAGTTACCCTGATATTAAAGTTCACCTGATGCTTTACATTGTCTCTGTTGGGATATCTCTATATACAGAGTCAGATTTACTTAATACACCCTTTTAGGCCATTCCTCTGTTTCTGCATTCCTAGGGGTTTATATATTTGTATATATATTTCTTGTTCTTAGCAGGGGAGACTAATTTTATTCCTGGAAAACATGAAGAAACATTTAAAATGCCATGCAAGGCCATAATAAAAGATTATTTGTGGCTTAGATGTCTC